GAAGAGAGAGCAAATCAGAGGCTGAGCCCCTGCTGTAGGCTCAATCCGGGAGCCAGCCACAGAAGCCAGGAGGGTTTTGGTGCTAGCTCTTAAAAGTGCCCACAGGCATGTTCTTGCAGCATGCATGCTTCGCTCTTGTCCAAGGAAGAGCAGAGATGAACGTGAAGTCTTGTCAAGAATGCCAAACATATTTCAGCAGTGGACCAGGCAAAATGGTATCCTGCAGGGACCTACCATGCAGATGGAGCCAGACTCTTCCGTACCACCTGTAATCGAACTCTGGATGGGTCCATGAAAGCTAGCATTGCTTGTCACTTGGAGTTCGAGGTACACATGAAGAGGAAGGCTGCTTCAGAGGCTGAAGGTCAGAGCAAGAAGCAAGTGACTATGTCTGGTGGCTAGAAACCTTTAAATACCATTTTGCTTTTGGGAATTGGCTTGTCGGTAAAATAGATATGTATTAGAACAATTGTTCAGGGGAATGGCAAGGGTTAACTGGTTTAAAAAAGCCTGTTTGTGACAGTTTCCTTCAAGGCCCACTGTGTCTGAAGCCACAGACACAGGCTGGGAAATTGAAGACATGTACCCCACTGTTCCATAACATGAACAGTGTACCCAAACAGAGATAAGTGACTCTGTAGCACTGGAGCCAGGTCACAGTGCCCAACTGCAGAGCCCTTGGGATTTCCATCTCATCTCCAAATTAGGAGACTGGTAAAAGCCTAAATTAAGATGTGTGTGCATGTGATGGGTTTGTCAAACAAAGGAATATGCTGACAGACCAGAACATGTACAGTATGAGGACTACGGGGAGACCAATCAATGATGCCTGGGAATGAAGAGTCATCAGAGGAGAAAGAATACAAAAGGAGGGATTTCATAGCAACAAAGGGTCCCCAAGAGGAGAACCAAGGCCACCATGGACAAAGGGCACACCACCAGCCCATCTTAACCACTCTGCTGGTGGGGGGGCTTAGCTTTTGACCTCCAGGCTGCTGGCATCTGACATTCAAGAGAGAACCTCAGAGTGAAGCTTATGTATTGGCCAGACATACCTTCCCTGTAGCCCTACAACTGGAAGATACAGAATCTGCTTGCCTTACCTGAATTATTCTCATCTGTTATCACTGTGTATCAATAACATTCACTTATTATCAAATGGAGAAGCTGAGGTCAGTCTGAGGGTTTGGGTCCACCCGGAACAAGGTATCTGGGTCATAAATCCAGTGCCAACAGTGACCTCCCTGTTTAAAAGGACCATAGAAAGCAGCTTGGCAAGGCAAGGGGTGGCATTTTCCTTTGTGGAGGCCTCTCCAATAGCAAACATGCCACTGGAGAAACTCGATCACCTGAAGTTAAGGGGCAAACAAACAACACGTGCCAAATGCTGGCAGTTTTCCATGTGCCAACAAACTTTGCCAGGACTATCTCTCTGCAGCGACTGCTTCACATGTACAATCCATGAAGGCTACCTTCACAGAGTATCATTCCTTTTCCATTATGGCTGGTGAAGCCACAGACCCTGAGGACAACTAAATGCTGCATGTTTTATACCAGAGAGTTGAACTGCCCAGGACCTGCCTGTGTTTCAAACTGAACTGGTCCACCTCACATCTGTCAATTTTTCTACCATGTCCCAAGCAATTGTGAAGGTAGTTGTCAGCTATGGTGTAGACTTTAACAAGATCTCAGCATTCCTGTCTGACAGTGCCATGTACATGGCTTTGTCCGATGTGCTCCAAGGAATGCTTCCCGACACTCCTTATGTCACCTGCCATGTGCACATTCTGTCCCCAGTAAGTAACATTTGGCATATGCAGTTCCCCAAGGTGGATAGTCCGGTGTCCTCTTTGAAGAAAGCCTTCAAGCACTGTCCAGGTCAAAAGGTCCAGTACGGGGAGTATGTCGACTGTCAAAGTGGGGACTCGCATGGCACTATACTCTTGCCACCAGAGCCTGTGCTCACATGGTGGAATTCCTGGTTCAATGCGGTCTGTTACTACCAGCAGTTTGCAAGCAAGGAGCTGGAAATCACACCTGGCACACACTGTATGCTCAAGCTTCATGATCACCTAGGGCGTGGTGACATTCAAAATCAAGTGATGTTTGTGGCAGACAACGACACCTTCACGGAGCTCCTGACCTGGTTTGAAGGCCAGCAGGCTATGAACCACCATGCACACAAGGTGATGGATTTGATAAGCTGGACTGAAGACAATGCATTGCAAGAACTGTCACGCTGCCCTTGTGAAAACCAGCACACAAGGGACCTGTTCCAGGCAATAGCAGCGAAGCTGAACCATTACTACAGGTATGACACATCAGTGACACTGCAGTTCAGACACCTGGCTGCCCCCTTCTTTAGTGCTGTTTGCATTTTGGACCCCAACCAGGTATCTTTGCTGAGTTTTGACCCTCAGCTTCTGAAAGCAATTCCTGGATGGGGGAAGAGTATGGCAACGAACATGCTGCTTATGTGAACTTCAAGGAGTACCAGATGCCTGTGTCCAAGCCTGTGTTCTGGGACTTTGCGACCGGTTTCCACACCTTTACGTCCTGGCAAGATGTAGCAACACCATTCCAAAGAATGTGGCGGATGCTGAGCATGCCATCTCAGTGTATGGACAAGTGTTCACCCCACTGAGACACAGAACGTCTCCAAGCCATTGTGGCTTGGTGCAGCATGTTTGCAGTTAATACATAGCATGAACAGCCTGGTTTAAGGTTAGCATTCAGTTTCAGTAAACTCCCAGGGTCTCCATGGAGACTGCCAGGAGCTGTGCAGGCAAGGGCTGCTGGGAAATGGAGCCTGGCCAGAGGCCGGATCCACCATTTTGCTCACATCCATGACTCAGATGGTATTATTTAATAAAGTATATATAGTTGGTATTACTTGTAATTCATCGTGTCTATAGCTTTATTTTAATAAGATATTTCATTTTAGACCTTAGATGTTTAGACTGCTTAATAATATGTCAATCCCCTGATTAAGCCTGCAAAAGCTATTAAATGACACATTATTAAGTAGTCTAGAATGCGGTTAGTGGCTTCTGTGGGCTTGAACAGGGGATTAAGTCTGCAGAAGCCATTAACTGATGTGTTAGCAAGTTCCAGTTTGGGACCACTGGTCAATCTCTGGGGAGGAGTGGGACTTCTGGGGCCCCTTGGACAGTGGTACAGGGGTGGTGTTCCCGGGGAGGCTGCCAGGTTTGGACTACGAAAATGGAGCTGGGCACCACGTTCGGACTGCAAAATCGACGGGCAGCTGCCCCAAACTTGGTAGGTTCCTACTTACATATATAGGCCAGCAGTATCAAACATCCACACTATCTATTTGTGTGACCTGTATGCAAAAAGTAAGCTGTCATTATAATAGGAATAGATTATAATAGGAATATAATAGGTTTCTGTTCCCTGTGTTAAGGCAACATCCCCAAGAAGTAATCAACACAAAGATGTCTTTAAAAGACAGCAGAGAGCCTAATACAGTAGTTGAGAAATGCAGACACTACTGCCTCAATTTGTTTTGTTACACTGTTTGCTCTGAAGCTTTATAGCAGCATTAGCTATTTACCCATGTTTTCTCACACACAACATACCTCCCAAAAAAGACATGCACCTTATTTTGGGAAAGGAGAACGAAGATTTTTCCAGTCATGGCTGAATTCAGACTGCAAGGGATCTTGATCTCATGACTGAATCCTGACCAGTGCTGCTTAAGCAAAAGTTTGTGTTAGAACTATTCACAGCCACTGGTGAACTGGCAGCAGCTGCTGTCTACTCAGCTAAAAGCTACTTCCAATTCTACAGCAACTATTAAAGGGTTAACACTGTACCTCTGCCTCCAAAGTGAACCCCACCCCTCCCTTCCTGAGGTTGGTATGGGGAGAAGCATGGCAGCCACTATAAAGTGTTTCCATGCTTCCATTCCAGTCTACAAAAATCAGCTTTCATGCTTAAGACAAGTACCCAGATTTTGGAAGGCTAATTTTTGGGGGCAGTGTAAATGTGGTATAAGTAAAAAAGGTAATTGTGGACTGTCCTCATAGTTCAATGTAAAAGAGAAAGAAACGAAGTTATTCCTAAAGTAACACAGGGACTTTGGAAAACTTCATCTAGTGCTAAAAATCTCAACATTATTTATTACAATAAGACTGAAAAAACCTATTCCTACTTTTATTAATTTTTCTTACCACTACAAATAGTCCACCATTTTGTTCCACTTCTGCTGTTTCCATAAGTAGTTCAATAGCTTTCCTAGTCCCAATGATTTTCACTACTCGGACTATCAGATCTTTCTTGGGTTCTCGAAGCCTTAAAAAACAAACAAACAAACAAACAAACAAATGCAGTCAACAGAAATTCTCACGTGAGTAAATTAGGCATGTTCTTTCAGCTGCACTACTCAAATAAATCTAGACAGTGAAAATGTTTATTCATAATACTTAAGATTCATGTATGCATCACTGCGTGGGACAGAAGCCTGTAAACCAAATGCACATCTATTTTTTCCTTTTAAAGATTTGCCCCATCAACCTACCATTAGCTCAAACTCAAAATACTGTGTTTGACAGACACACCTGGAAATAGTATGCTATGTTTTATTTTTTAAATTGCTTTAAATAAAAACTTGATAAGCATTTACACTTCCTACCCACCAATATGTGGAATGGTCTTTTCAGCAAGGGCCTTTTCAGCACGTGGAGCATCAAATGGTAGTCATTATCCAGAAGAAACTGTCAAACTCATTGTATGCAACTAAGGGCTCTCTCTCTCTCACACACCCCGCCCAAACAAGAAAATTAATTTACAGTCTTCTTAAGTTAGTTGACTGTAACGAAGTGAAACATTTAGAAAAATGGTGAAAATAAGTGTCCGTTCAAATCCTTTCAGTGTCATTTTCTCTATGAGAGTGTAGAGTACTTCAAGGTTTGTTTGTTTTTTAAATAAAAACATTAAAAAAGGAAGACTATCAGAATCAAGCATTCTACTGCAGCGTATGCAACTCAAAACAATGCCATATGCAAACACAAAAAAAAATGAGACTCAAACTGACTAGCCCAGTGTTAGCCAACCTTTCCCAGCTGTGGGCCGGAATGACCCACCTTGGCTCAGAGGCAAGTGGGTGAGTGGGTGCTAGGACCTATCTGCCACTGGCACAGCTCCCTGCAGCGGCATGAGCCAGTGCTTGCTTCTGAAGCCCCACCTCTGTGGGCCAAATACAAAGACTTTGTGGGCTGGATCCTGGCTATGGGCCACAGGCTGGAACCCCTGGATTAGCCTGTTTTTACTGTGCAAACAAATAAATGCAAGTGATAGCCTAAATAATGAAGAGTATATAAAGTTTTAGACAATATAACCATATAGTCTATGTTTCTGTAAATAAGCTATTCTACAGTGGGAATTATATTCTTAACTTTCATTTTAACTATCAAGGTAATAATGATGCAAAGATGCTCTTCTCTAGTAGTTTATAACATGGGACACATGTATATACCTAGGCTTGAGCACATCAGTAGTCCCATTAAGCTCATTGAGAGTACTTGTATACTTAGAGTTAAGATATATTTTAATGATCAAAGTTCTGAAATTGTAAAGATTAACACATGGGCTTAATTTCAGACATAAATATGAGTTCAACAGGATTACTGATGAGCTTGAAGCCAGGCACATGCTTATGTCCCTGCAGAATTAGGGCCCAAATTAAATATCACTTGGAAAGGGATGGGAGGTGCAGGATGAAAGAGGTTTAGAAATAAAAGTCTTATGAAAATACAGTAAGAACAGGTAGCAGCATTAATCTCTATGCATCTTTGAATGCACGTTGTCTGAATCAATTTAGTTTCCTGTTGGCACTAAGCAATGGAAGTTCACACACGGTATATGCTACTATACAAAAAAGATTATACTAAGAGAACATTATTAAAGTTGCCATCTAAGTCAGGAAGTGTCAGATTTAAGGCTGCCTATGCAATCGTATTTTAGCCCCAATGTGCACATGCATTGTGATAGTCTAATTATATAATAACATTATATTTGAAGGAAGAAAAGATTTTTGTGGGAGTTATCTTTTACTGGATCAACTGCATGATCGGGATAAACTTAGAGCTCTTGAATGGAGTGCATTCTTCTTCGCATCATTCAAAAGCTTGTTTTAAGTCCATCCCAACTATGCAGCTGGTCCAATAAAAGATATTACCTACAAAAATTCTTGCCTCTTGCATATTACTCAGACCATCAAAGCTGGACATCACTCCTAAACATTCATTATGTACTGCATGAACTTTGGCTCACACGAGGACAAAGTTTAATTTCTGAACAACTATCAGAAATTTTATCTTCTCTACATTATTTGATAATATGTGACCTTCTTATGCACAATGTTCAGATCTTCAAGGGCTGTTCATCCTCATCAGATAGTAACAATACAATCTTCACCATGTTTTATATAAAACCCATTTGTCATGGGGGCATTATTCTCTATTATACAGATAATGAAACCAAGGCACAGAGAGTTAAGATGAGAAATATCTGCATTGTTGGCACCTAATTTGAAATATTCAGGATGGTCTCCACTGATTTCAGTTCCAGCTGTGCGCCTAACACTTAGGCAAGCCAGACTAAGTCAGGCAGCACACAAATGAGAAACGCAAGGAGTAATCACTTGTGACAGGCTTGAATTAACTAACTTGACTAGCATTATATATGAATTCTGTGACAGGGACAAAATCCAATTCCCCCAAATGGCATTCAGCTGCCTTACTCATTTTCTGATCAATAATCTTTTTCCCTTCCTACAATTTCCTACCTTATTCACTATATATCTTCAAATGTATTCAACTTAGGCAACAAATAAAGCAGGGTCCTATAGCTAACAGCCTTCTTTGCTCCAAAATATGATTCTCAACCAGGATGTCATAAGAGCGTTTGAAGGCTGTTGTGGGGTGCCATGCAATATTAGCACTGTTCAGTGTGCAAGTACCGGAATAAGATTCACAAGATCAACCCATATATTCCAACAGGAATCTACAGTGTCAAAATCATTCTGACTTGTCATCCAAGTTCTCTGCAACACAAGATTTATTCTATTATTTTTTTCCAGTAAAAAAAAAAAATGAGTGAAATAAGTTTCAGAAATGGTGCTGCTAAATTCAGAAAAGTTATGGAAGGGTGCCTTTAAGTCTACATAGGTTAAGAACTACTGCTCGAGCCCCGATACACTGCCAAAGCCTAGTCCATTTCACATACTAACTGATCCAGGAGCCCTGTAGAAAACTACTATATGACCATTTTATTAAAGACCATCATAACACATGTTCACAAAGGGTATATATTATGGTTGTACAGCAAGGGTCAACAATGTTTTTGGGCAGAGTGCCAAAAATACCTGCAACCTTAACTATTGTTGAGATGTTGGCGTGCCAGAGGGGAGCCGTGAGGGGCCCAATACTTATGGCAGTGCAGCCCTGGCTCTTTTCCTACATTCTGCCCCAAGGTGCACGTGCCAAGCAAAATGCCTTCTCACGCCACACTGGTACTGTGCTGGGGGTTGCCTACTCTTATTGTACAGGTAATCTTAGTTCTGTCATTTTTTAACTTTCTACTTTGCAACTTTAATAATGGTCTTTTTTAACATAGCTTAATAAAAATACTAAAACTAAGCAATTATACCTAACTGAAGACGCGTTTTCATATGCATCAAGGGGCAACAAACATATTGACACTCATACGGCTCATCAGCAGAGATTAAACATTTAGATTCACCATGCAGACAACTGCCACTGTAGTTAAGGGAACAGCAGATATCAGTAGTAAACTGCCATCTTCTGTGCGTTCCAGGATGAGAGGATAGCACACCCTTTGCCAAAAAGTTTCCCAAATATCTGCTGTAGACGGATGAGACCCAGGCATCCTGAGATTCATTTGAGTCTCCAGAGGAAGAGTGCTTTCTGGTGGGCACAGATTCTTCTATGAATTCTTCCCAGGTTTGAACACTCCTCCCGTCACCTTTAACCTGTCCCATTCCTTTCTCTTCCTAGTCTCCACTGTTTAGGATCATCTCAATCCCAGTCTCTTATCAGAGTTCTCTCCCTTGCAGGCCCCTCATCAGATCTGCCCCTCTGCTGTGGGGCCCCTATGGTTCCTTATGAGAGCTAGCACCCTTCCCTCCCTTAGTTCGATACCCTCCCTTTTCACTGGTTCTCAGTCCCACTACCCTTGACCCACTGTACTTCAACAGTAGGAAGGGAAATTTGTCCTGGAATGTTATTTATTTGAGGGTATGCCTTTTATTATAAAAATCTGCCAAAATTTGGGCTAATTATAAGCCTCTGAAACACTGCAAGTCACATGTGCTATGTAAATGCTCTAAAATTCTCTAGATTCCCCCAAAAGTCTGTCCCTACATGACACACGACAGTGTGGGATCGGGAAGAAATCTCCTTTTAATTGCAGTTGTGTTGCTGTGGGTTATGCCATGTCTCTATACCAGGAAGAAGAGCCAGAAGTATATCTTTCCTGTTCTGGTACTTAACTCCTTGATTGCCTGCCACTGGTCTAGTTCTTTTCAAACAAAAGATCACCTCATTTTAATAGGGTAAATATATGTTTTCCTAGCTTTGTTCTGAATAATTTTGGTTGCAAATTCCAATATATGTTTTCCTAGCTTTGTTCTGAATAATATTGGCTGCAAATTCCCCCCTCCCAGAAAAGAAAAAAAAAAGGCTGATGCTCAGACTGAAAATGTTCCTAAATGGAGAAGTTGAGCAGTTATAAGTAAATGAAAAAAGCCCAGGAAGTGACACATCCTCAGTATGCAGAGCTACAATCCCCACTATAAGGATGCTACATTTGCCTCAAGATCCTGGGTACATGTATAACTCGAGATTTGCTCCTATTATTTAACATGGCCACCTAAAACATTTTACACAAATGCAGCCTTATTATTTACTTCACTAGCTTACATATAAATAAAGGATTGAGGAAATACTATTAAAAAGAACAAAACACAAAAGTCTCACCGATAAGCAATTTCATCTGCCACTTTTTCCTCAGAATCGTCTTCAGTAATCTCATACCTCCCTTTATAATCCATCTCTTGTCTTTCACCCACTCTCTCCTTCACAGGCCGTTTCCGTTTGAGATGACCTTTTCCATTTTCTTCCTCCTTTGCCACCCATTTTTTGTCATCCTGCATGTATTCATCCAACTCTTTGTCTAAAGATTCCACCTCCTCCTGAGCTTGCTTCATAAGCTTTTTTGCCAACAAGTAATTATAAGTCTCGGACTGCCTGCTCTTGTCAATACTACCTTCCATTCCTAAAATCCCAAGTTCAGTGGCTACTGCATCCTGATTTTGTTCCTGAAGCACTGAGCCCCAAATGTTGTTGATCTTTCTACCTCCTACAGCAGTTGTTTGCTTTTGCTGGCTCTGATTAAACTGAAAAGGCTCTTGTTTCACAGGAGGAAGGTTAAAACATTTCTGTCGTTTCCGTTTCCAGAAACTATCATCATCTGAATCTGAAAAACTGTCCTCACTGGAGTCCACACTTTTGATTGTCCTGTAAGGAATAGTTGGTGCACATCCTGAAATGTTGCTCTGGAAAGGTCTAGCTGCATTGTTATCATTCTGTGGCTTCTGAAATACAAAAGTTAATTTTATAAATTAATTCTCATTCATTAAAAAAAGGAAAAAAGGTAAGGGCTGATGTTATTAGTGTGTTGTTATGGAACTGCTGTATTTTTAATGTTTCACATGGAAGTAAATGGCAGCACTTGCCATTAGGGCAGCAGTGGGCAAAATGTGACCTGGGGGCTGGATGCGGCCCACCAGGCCCCTAAAAAATTTAGAAAATTAATATTGATCTGCCGCCAGCTGCCTATCATGTGGCCCTCGATGGCTTGCCAAAACTCAGTAAGCGGCCCTCCGCCCAAAATAATTGCCTGCCCCTGCATTAAGGTCTATAGCTCTTACCAAGAGTTATTAATTTATCCCTTGGTCCCTTCCAACTCTAATTTTCTATCATTCTATGATTCTATAATCTTAATAGCTGTACTCTGCCCACATAAAAAAAAGCAAGCTACGGAGATTGGAAAAGGTAGTCC